AAATGTCGTATTTCGTTTGAGAAACGACGTTTGAGAGTTAACAGGGGCCAGGGGGTCGCTGACTCGCTAATCGCTATGTCATAAAACGACATTTTTTTTTATAAAATACCAAATGTTGTTTACCGCTAAGATTTTCTATATCATGTCATGTCGATTTATAGCTAAATAAGAAGTTGTAGCGCCCTCAAGAATTATATGTGTTTAATTATGATAAATGTGGTTTATTAATGTACCTAAATTTAATTTTCTTAATTAATTAAGAATTTTGAGCTTACTTTCAACATTTATAATTTTACCCCACAAGTGTGTGAGAATACATGCTTCCACCCCTCTTTACTTTTATTTGTCCTTCCTTATTATTTTCTTTTCCTCATTTTATTTTCCTTTTCTTCTTTTCTTTTCTTTCTTTCTTTTCTTTTCTCTCCTCTCCCGTAACCCTCTCACCGAGCTCTCTCTCTCTCTCTCTCTCTCTCTCTCTCTCTCTCTCTTTCTCTCAACGAGCTCCCCCTCTCTCTCTCTCGCCCATCTCTTCCTCTCTCTTTCTTTCAAGTTTTCCCTCTCTCTCAAGGACGTTTTTGAACCAAATTTGAAGAAAAATGGAAACTTTTAAGAGATTTTCAACATCGAAGCCTAGATCGAGGTAAAACTCTTTGAAACTCACTTTAGATTTTCGGATTTAGCTTTGTGGACCTCGTTTTGGGTCGAGTTTGGTGATTTTTGGTTTAAATTTGTTTTTTAATAGATTTCGAATGAGATTTGATGAAATCTTGATAGAATTTGGGGGTTTTTTATTCTTTGAACCCCATTTGTTGACTGGAACCTGGATTTATAAATTTCATTTGAGAATATGTCGAAATCGAACCCCAAATTGCAGGTTTTGGCTTTGTCTCTCGCTGATCGGCCATTTTTGGCCCTGGAGTTTCATCCCACCGGTCGACCGGTCACCCTTCCACCGGTTGACCGGTGGAGTTACACTCCTCTGTCACCGATCGACTGATTCGCACTAAAACCGATGCCAAACAGTGCAAAAACCCTGTTTTGAACCCGAAACTCGATATATACCCGACCCAACTTCATTTGAGCACTCAAAGCCAGTGGATTAGCCACCTCAACACTGGTTCCCATTTGATTTTCGGAAAGAATTTTAATTCTCAACGAATCGTGATTTGAATTAAGAATTATTAATAAGCTTGATTTTTCTTAAGTTAAGGCACACTAATATGACACCATTGTGCATAATTAGACAAGAATGTTTAGTGAGAAAGATTGAATTCTAAACCGTTGACTTTGGTGATGAAGTTAGTGGCACGATTGGAATTGGAGGTTCAAAGGCAAGTAGAGCTAGGGCTACGTGAAGATAGCCACAGGTTTGATATCCAAGAGGTAGGATATTCATGTCCATGTCCTTGTTAGCCTCACTTTAAATGATTTTGGCCTATGAAAATGTTTTAGAACAAAACATGTTTAAAGAAAATGATTTTAAAGAAATAGCATGAGAATGCTACTAAGTTTTCCAATGATTTTAGAAATGAGATTTTAAAGAGTATCATTTCTTAAAATGAAATATCTTAAGAAATGATACACCGCATGGTGGCCACAGAGATCGGGATATGGGAATCATATCCTTGGGGGCAGGTCCTAAAACTCGTACGGAACCACTTCTTGCTCAGTGGTAATATGGCTTTGCATTTTTCACTAGACAGGCATTTTACCACTTCTTGCTCAGTAATATGATGATTTGCACACTTTCATATTACAAATATTTTCTACTACTATGTGAGTATCTTTTTTCTTTAAAAATGGATGATCAGTTCCGGGTGTATGTCTTCAGACTGTGAGTACCTTATTTATTATGTTTTATAAACTTATGTTCTACTGGGCCTTCTGCTCACTTTTTCTATGTTTTCAAATGTATTAAACCCCTCCAGGCGACGCGAGGAGTAGTACGGATTAGGCAGCTACCACCGGTGAGGTGAACTCATTCCTGATAAGTGAAGAATTGTATTTCTTCTTATCCTTTATCCCAAGGCATGTATAGAATTGTGGATTGTAAACTCAAATATTGCTAGACTGTGGTTGATGTCACATTTACTTTTGTTTAAATTCATGTATGCTAAACCTGTGGGAATTCCTGACATGATACCAGGGGCGATGTTTTAAACTGGTTTGGCTGGAAGTTCCACCACTCTTCTTGAAATACCTGGACGTTTTAGATTTGAAAAGTTAAATTTTAGCATAGTTATTTGCTAAACACTTTCTTAAACAGGTTTAAGTTTCTAAATAAGCCTCCACGTCACTAACCCCTGTTTGAGGGCGTGACAAGACATGGTATCAGAGCGCTCATGGTTTAGAGCCTTAGGGTTTGGATTATGCATACATGAATGACATCAGGAAACCACTAAAAAGGTCTAGTTTTCTTTTCAGTTAAGAGGATGTCGTCGCACCGTAGAAACCCTAACCCACCAGCGATGCCGAATGAGCAATTCATGGAAGCCATATACGCAGCCTTCCAGGAGATGGCTACTAGAGCCCAAAATGAGCGTCATGCGGAGCGGAGGACAGAAAACAGAGCTACTTCCGTGAGTACAGGCGTAGCTCAATTCCCGCATACACTAGCGCAGGTGGACCCCAGGAAGCCGAGTATTGGTTTGAATCGGTGTCTAAGCATCTGAGTACCATGAGAGTACCGAATGAATACTGGGTGGAGTTTGCAGCTTTTAAGTTTGAAGGTCCTGCTAGTGCGTGGTGGAAGCATATCCGGTGAATGCATGATGTAGAGGGGATAACTTGGGGACAATTCGAAGCGCTCTTCAATGAACAGTTCTTTCTTCAAAGCTATCGAGATGAGAATGCCATGGAATTTATAGGCCTACAGCAAGGGGAGACGACAGTGAGGGAATACGAAGCTAAGTTCAACGAACTATCCCGTTTTGCTCCTTCCCTGATTGAGTCGGAGCACATGAAGTGCCTTAAGTTTGAAAGAGGTCTCGTTTATGAGAAACACTATACTGTATATGATGTAGGGGAAGTCATTTTGGGGAGCTGTGTGTTAATGTTGTGTTGTTTATTTTATAATATCTGACATGATTCATGTGTTTGCTGGTATTTGTTATGTTAAACTGTTGTTCGGTTTGTCGTATACATATTAAACGTCAGTATGGAACACAACGACATGATGTCATTTTCTGGAACTTTGCCTCCTCATGGAAACTATCTAGTGTTATTGTTGGGAATAGTGTCCTAGAAGCATGAGATGTAATAGGATATTTATTATTTAATTAATAAAAGAGTTTATTCATCATTTTATGTGCATATATTTATGAATATTTTATGAATATCAAATGAAAATTTCATGATTGTTTATGTAACCTTAAACATAGTATATAAGTGTTATATACGAGAGGATAGTGTTTAAGGATAATAATAAAAAACATTGTTCATGATGATTTTAATTAAAGTTTGGAATCTTTAATTAAAACATTATTAATACATATCATTCCCATTTAGAATGGAACGGTGTTATCCGCACTGTTAATATGGCGAGATATTGAATGAGTGTATTTCGCATAATAAGATGATGTGGAACAAGGACACAGGCACAATATGAATTTCTAATAATTTCCATTATGCATAGAAATTCTAATTGAGTTTACTGATGGTCATATATAGGATGATCTTAATCATGAGTTCTTAACAAACTCTTATTTGTAGATTTATGTCTTTTGATTTACTCAGTACGGATTCTGAGACCCTGAATCCTATTCCTTGTATTTTGGAGACATAATGAAATAGGTAGCTGGGAATGTTATTGTACGAGATGGAATCCATTCCTTCTTGAGAAAGAAGTAGATAAATAATTCTCTTGAGTGTTGATTCGGTACTTGGATTAGTAAGAGCACTCTCGTTCATGAATGTGTTTTATGAATCACTATCCATTAGAGAATCAATGGTACT